TTTGGTGTCTATTTACCCGACGTGACCCCATCTTTTATATTTTACCAAAAAATTGGGTAATAATAAATGTTTTATAACATAACGTAGGGAGAACAGTTTTTTTTTCAAAATTATAGGTTTTTATTATACAGTAAAAAAAAAAACCCCGTAGTGGTGATTAAATACCACCAAAATAAAGCTCTATCTGTCCCCAAAAAATGGTATAAAATTAATTTCAGTACAGCGTTGCATGACGGAATAAATGTCAGTCAAAGTACCGCAGCGCTGAATACTGAAAAGTGGCCTGGTCAGGAAGGGAGTATAAACACCGAGGTCAGCAAGTGGTTAATCGATTAATCGAACTTAATAATCGGCTAACTAATCGATTATGAAAGTAATCGTTAGCGGCAGCCCTAGTTTGTTGAGAGGTTGTTTTGTCTCCCTATTGTACAAATCTTTGCATTCCTTACTACACTTCACTGCAAGATACTTCCCTTGAGTTTGGGTGTTGGGTCTTTTGGATGTATGAGCTTCTATTTGAGTGTATTGTGACTATAATCTAAAATAAGATAAGACCCTTGACAGCACAACAAAACTCAAGCCAGACCAAGTATGTTCCTGTACAATGGGCTAATAATGAAACTAATTATTCTGGAAAAGCTCCCATCATGATTGAGTTGTAACCCCCCCCAAACGTTGAATATTCCCCAAAGCACTACTAAATGCATTATTAAAATTGAAAAGCTTATGCCACAGCCATGACTGCTTAAGAAGCATCAGTAAAGAAAGTAACTGAATCAGGACTCTTCTCAGAAAGCACTAAAGCCACTGATTTGGTGATGGCAGCCAAGCAAATAGCACTTTCAGAAGGAGAGGTCAGTAATGGCAACCTTTGTATTTTACAGTACAGGTTTCTTGAAATAAGCATTGGTCTACCTTTGTTTAGACTGGGCTTTGCTTGTAAGACAAATTTCAGTGAAAATATTTATTAAGTCATGTATTTAGGTTAGACATACAGACATGAGACAGGTGCATACACAGACAAGAGGCAGAGACAAACACTCTTAAAATGACAAAATTGTTAAATCCTGCACTTTGCATAAGCAAGTGAACTTTTGACCAGGCTATGGGCATTCAACTATTTACACATTCTTAATAAGCAGTAAATGAACTTTAAAGCAAGGCTTTTGTAGCTGTATCTCTTGAGATGCAAGTTCTGTGGAGCAATTTGTCCTCAAATTCACAGCAAGATGCACTAAAGCAGCAGCTTATTTTCCTCTTATAACAGTGACTTCCGGCTTTCTAATGTAAACACAGAATAGTTGTTTAGAAACTAGCTATGGCCAAAGTGCCTCTGTTGTGGCACTTTCCAGAAGTGGAAAATTCATGGATCTCTTGAAACCAAGGTCAGGTAGACCATGAAACATTGTAGCCACAATGTAGCCCAAAGAATTGTTTGAGATACAAAGAAAAACCCATAAGTAACCTCAGGAGAAAGACAGGCAGCTCTGGAAAAAGGAGCATAATACGACGATACTTGGACAAAAATGAGCTGCATGGTCGAGTTGCCAGAAAGCCTTTACTGCGCCAATGCCACAAAAAAGCCTGATTACAATATGCCCGACAACACCCTGACACGCCTCACAGCTTCTGGAACACTATAATTTTGAGTGACGAGACAAAAAAAAAAGCTTTATGGTCACAACTATAAGTGCTATGTTTGGAGAGGGGTCAACAAGGCCTATAGTGACAAGAATGCCATCCTCAGTGTGAAGCATCTTGGTGGCTCACTGATGTTTGGGGGGGGGGGGGGTGAGCTCTAAAGGCATGGGGAATCTTGTGGAAAAAAAAGTGATGACAAGATGAATGCAGCATGTTGTCAGAAAATACCAGCAGACAATTTGCATTCTTCTGCAGAAAAGCTGCACATGGGACGCTCTTGGACTTTCCAGCACAACAATGACCCTGAGCACAAGGCCAAGCAGAGCAGCAGAAAAATATGAAGGTTCTGGAGTAGCCTTTACAGTCTCCTGACCTTAATATCATCAAGCCACTCTGGGGAAATTTCGAAGTGTAGTTCATGCAAGACGAGCAAAGTTTGATATACCACCTGCAAGAATTCGGAGCCTCATAGACAACTATTGCAAATACACAATATTAGGAACTAAGGGTAAGCGGACTTTTGAACAGGGGTCATTTTATTTGTTGCCATGTTTTGTTTTATGATTGTGTCATTTTGTTATGACCTACAGTTGAATATGAATCCCATAAGAAAAAAAAGAATTCTCACTCATGTTTTGTTTAGAAATGCTACCTATATTACCAATTCTCCAAGGGTATGCAAACTTTTGAGCACAACTGTAAATGTTGAAGGCCAGCTAACCCATTCCCATATAATGCCCCCTCCAACCATCATATGTGAGCAAGCAGTACATATGACCAATGAACAGAGGGGTGTGACCTGTGTCCCTCAAAGGACTTCAAGAAAAAGATGTTATGGTAATTACAAAAATCATTCATTGAAGGACACAGAAAGTCAGAAGTTATGAAACAGTTGGGATGTTCAAAAGTATAACTGGAGGGGTGCACAAGAGCCACAGACGGATCTGGGATAGAACCAGGACCCATCTACAACAACCAGAAGGACCAACGCCCAAATCTGAACCAGAAGAGGTGAAGTCCCCTACAGGCTAAGGGAGCTGCTAACAACCCAGGAGAGATTACATAGGATCGCCCCGATGCTAATAGCCACCAAATGGAAAACTACCACAAAGAACACTAAGGCCTCATTAGCAGAATCTCTGAGCCAAAGCAACCACCAAGAGTAATATAACTATCCGAATGGGGAGTACAGACAAACAAAAAAAATTATCAAGAGGAACAATGGAAGATTTCCTAGCCTCTAAACAGATACAGAAGAAAAAAATGGACATGAGACAGGGTGGAAACGAGGTCCAGTGCTTTCAAGAACTACAAGTGCCCCAAGGAAACCCTGTTAGGAGAAAGAGCAGTGGAAACTGGTACAAACTGACACTGTAATGCAGGTGGTCTCTCTGGGGAGGGGGAAAACTGAGGATCAGCATTATCCAAGGATACAGAATATCCCTGAGGAGGAGGAGGAGAAGGAATACCCTTGTGGCGAATAATTCCCAAGGGCAAGTTCCTACTAAGGACAGGAACAGGGGCTCCAAGAGTTTGGAGGCCATGTAGGCCTGGGTAAAGGCACAGCTACGTGTATTAGCACAGAAAACATGCTGGGGATCAGATGAAATGAATGCTGTCTCCAGGTAATTAGCCTGTGCCCTAGCCTGTGCTTCTTGAGAATCTCCCTTCAATCCAGCCAAAGAGACACGACGTGACAGTCCTGGGCCTGCATGGAGGACAGCAGAGCCTGGAATAGCTGGTAGCAGGGATGGAGGGGGGCACACTCCCTAGCACCATACCAGCGATTGGGGAGCTCTATAGCTGCCTGAATGCTTGTATGCAACAGCCATCGCCGGCTGTTAAAAATATGAACGGTTTCCCACTCGTAAACGCATGGTGGGGAAGGACATTTAAAACCGAACAGCCGCTGTTATGAGTGAGCCGTCCGGCCGTTTAATTACAATCATCAGGACGGCAAGGGGTTAATGTCCATAACCTGGCCACAGGTTCACTTTATACAGCAATTATTTTTTATGTACATATTTTTTTATCCTCATCATCTGTAATATACATTTATATACCAATTACATTAGCACCACCTGATAGACTGCTTTACATCATGGCAAATGCCTGCAGACTGACACTGCCTTGGTAGCTAGCTAGTGGTCTCATTGGACAGGCAGACGGCAGTTAGTGGATTTTGGATATCAAGTGAGGGACACCAAGGCCCAATTAAAGTGCAGCTAAACAAAAAAACAAACTCAAAAGTAGTTTTATTGAATAATAGGAGGTAATATTTTGACTTTTTTTGATGTCTGCTCTTAGGCAGACCTTTTACACTTAAAAGGTTAGAGTGCAGGTTCACATGTTGATTAAATTGTTTATTTTAGGAGTGCCTTATTATTTATCTTTCTAACAATTTAACAGAAATTGAACCCTGCAAAAATGTTTGAACAAATCTATAGCTCTCAAAGTGAAAGGGGCAAAAATGTATATCAAGAGCAGAGTAAGGGACAACATAGCCACCACCAATTCCTTAAGAGTGTAAAAACCATGGAACAAGTTTCACACCCACTAGAGACAAAAAACCCCCCAAAAAACAGATACTGTTTAGTACTGAAAAGCACCACCTTTGAAATGTTCTCACAGTGACAATATGGATTAATAAATATTTTTATACTTTAAAATAGTGATGTGAGCTACAACTGGATCACATTTAATTTGCTAAGCATTTGTGTATAATAAACTATTGCCTATTTGAAATACCTATTTTCACTCTTTTGTTTCATCGAACTCCAGCCACTTCCTATTTACATGCATGCACTCCAGCAATTGATACATGGAATTTGTCAAAATGGCCTTCTTAATGGTGTCAACAGTACATTATGCATGCATAATTTGTGTTAAAACAGCCACCTGTAGTCTCTGGAAGTCTGCATGACGGTGACAACACAGGTGTACAATTGAAAGACAGGGACGCAGAGTTGTTAGGCTATACCTAAAATAATCCTTGCTCAAAATGTAGAGAATTTGTATGGAATTGTTAATGATGTTTAATTGTTAATGGATCCACAGATGTTCTGCAACTGATTCATCACAACAGACCCAACTGCTTCTATAGGAATCGTAAAGTAAATCAATAGAGAAGATACGACTAAGTATGCAGAAACATTTCTGCTGTTATAAATGGCTCTTGACTAAATCTCTGTGGTTTTTCTTGTACCCCACTGCCCTTTCTTGATTGTTAAATACAAATCAACAAAACACCATTGTCATTGTTACCTACAGTCTAAACAACTCTTCTGGAGGTGTTTACTTATCTAACACATTCCATTTGTGTCCATTAGTAAAAGACAGAATAATTTGTTTTGTATTACCTCATTCCAAGGGCAGACTGTGACAGCAGTTCAGATAAATCATCAGAAACGGCATCCTCTGGCTGCAAAAAAATAAATGTTTTGTGAACAGTTGCAGATTTGCAAATTGCAGATTTGTGAAGTCAGTCACACAATGTAGTATGGTAAAACCCCAGGAAGTATTCCAATGCACAGCATAGCTGCATATGTGTTCTATACAACTAATTTAAAGTGAATTAATCCTTGAGAAGCTTTTGTAACATAAATATGTCTCAACACACAAGAAAACGAAATATATTTAACAATTTTTAAACTGTGAAAAGTCAATCATACTTAAAGCTATCAATTTACGTTGGGGGTGCAGATGGAGCAGGGAATTTCAAACATACAATTGCTTGCCAAGAAAAAAAACATATTTGTAGCATCACAAAGATGTTACACTTTGTATGTAGAAGTATGTCCAGTGGTGTATTTTGGTTGTGTGCTGCCCTAGGCAAGACTAAACTCGAGCGCCACCCTAATCTAAATTTGCCCCGCCCCTTCCTGTTTAAGACCAACCCCTTCCTCACTAAACTCCACCCTCTTTAGGCTTCCTTTCTGTACATTAAAAGTAGATAACGAATGCCTATATTTTCACTGTCTTTGACCATCTCCTGTAACATGCAAGCAGTCTCTGACCCTCTCAATTAACATGTCAGCAGTCTCTAACCATCTCCTGTAACATGTCAGCAGTCTCCAACCATCTTCTGTAACATGCCAGCAGTCTCTAACGATCTCATGTAACATCCCATCAGTCTCTGACCATCTCATGTAACATGACAGCAGTCTCTGACCGCCTCGTGTTGGTTTTCTCGTAAGACAGCCATCCACTCGCACACTAGCAGATATGAAAATTAGAAAATAGGCCAGTGACAGATTCTGCATTTAGCCCCACATGTTCCATATGTGGCAACAAAGAGGAGCTGGTGAGTAAAAAAAATATTTTTGCACTCACCATAATCCTTTTCCCCAGTAGGTTTATTGGAGAGCACAGCGGAGTATATGCCCTGCCGCTAGGAAGTTAGCTATTACGAAAATGGAAAAGCACAGCTGCTCCTAGTGATTGTAACAGGTCCCGCTCAGATCAACATCTGGGGTACCCAAATAGTGCAAAATCTGATTAAACACATTGTGCTGTAGGGTCAATTCTCATCAGTCAATTTAATTTGTTGGCAAATTAGAAAGTATGTTTCCCAGTTTTTGCTCTTAGAGTGTGAACTACTGAGAGTGATACAAAACATTCCACACAGTTGATCTCTTTAGATGGGCCACTGCAGTGGCATTGTCAGACTATCGTTAATGGCTGACCCCTGGATTGAGACATTTGGTAAAGGAGTGATAGAGAAGTCACTTAAATCTCCAATATGTTGGAGATTTATGTTCCAGTATAATGGACAGTTTGAACTCCTGTGTTCATCAGCCTTGCACTAACAGGAAGCCAAAGACTCTTACTCAGCCAGGGAGGCATGCATTTGTAGTGACAATCTTTCACTGAAGTGTAACAATTGAAGGGGGACAATGTCCCAAATAAATATCTGGGGCTTTTTAGACTGCAGAAACATACAAAAATGTAAAATAATGTATATTTATTGAGTCTGATTAAAAAACATTGTAAACATTAAAACTCTCTGTATATAACATGCCTTCTCTAAATCAATTGTTTCTTAACAGATGGTTACATGAAGGGGGACAATGTTGCATTTGAATATCTGGAGTTTCTTAGGTGCCAAGTGCATAAACATACAAAAAAATCTAAAATCATAATTCCAAAATTTGAATTATTATATTTGAAAATTATATTAAAAACGCTTGGTACATAACAGAACTAAACCAATCATCACAGCAGATTTTGCATATCTTATTTACTTCGTTTACTACTTAATTACGAATCATAAATCTTACATAGATGTTACATATCTTACATCACATAACACAGAATGTCACATCAGTGATCCACTTATATAGAAGCTGAATCATTTATAGGTACAGGGGTGGAACTACTGCCAGTGCGGCTGCACCTGGGCCTGAGGCTGTGGGGGGGCCCAGTGAGGTCCGGTCCTGGGCACCCCCCATGGTAGAATATGGGGCAGTGCAGGGTCCCTCGGGCCCCACACTGCCGACGGGCTTCTCAGCAAGGGGGTGGGGTCCTGTGACTCACCGCTCCAACTCCCGGGCTGTGCCCATAGTAACAGGCGGCGGGAGAGGAGGAGAAGTGTGTGTCACATGCCCCGCCCCGTGCACACCGTCTGGCTGGGATACTGTGAGGCTGGGGGGGGGGGGTACGGGGGTAACTGCACACTGTGTGCAGTTATTTTGTTTAATTTTACAGCTCTCACATGCTGTGTATTGTTTTCGTTAAAACGGACTATCAACTTCTGACTTTGAAGGCTTACTGTCATCTACTCTTTTGTGAGTATCTTTCTTTTGCTATTGCTCAATAAAAATCATCTACACTAGGCAAGGCACCTGTTTTTGTTTACGTTACAGAATATGATAACTATAAGAACTATACTTTGGATAACCCAAAGGTATACAAGGAAAAGTGAAAGGGGAAACAAATGAAGAAAGACTAGAAAACCAAGAAACCCCCCCCCATCAAAGAAGCCAAGTATATCCACAAGAGCCTGAAGGTGCCCATACACCTTACAATTATCTGCAGATTTTCTGTGGTCAGATGGAAAAAGTGCAACCGATTGGCCCAGGTGGAGATTCCTCCATCCACACAGTTAAGTGTAGATGGAGGAATCTGTTGCACCTTTTCCATCTGACCACAGAAAATCTGCAGATAATTGTAAGGTGTATGGCCAGCTTTACACTCTAATAAGTATACAGTCCCCAATACTTGAACCAAAAAAGCATCCTCCCAAGTGAGCTGTATCAAATCCCCCATATGACAACCAAACAATGCAGCATAAGACACGTTATCCCCTGTAAAAAATAGATCCAACATTAGGCTAGGAACATAGCCCAGCCAATACAGGTGCTTCAAAAATCTAGCCTAGCCAATATAGATCCTTCAATAAAAGTAATAATCTTACTGCCCGTGTCTAGGGGGAAGTATCCTTACAGGATAATAAGGGAGGAAATAACATGAGGTTTTGCACTGGACAGGCATATAGATGGACGAAAAATCATGTCCATAGTAAAATAAATAGATCTAAAGCTCGTAATCTAGTTGAGTGAGAATAATAGGATTTTTATACTCACGTAAAATCCTTTTCTCTCCGTTCATTGAAGGACACAGGAACACATCGTAGATCATGTATTGCCACCTGCAGGAGAAGGATGCTAGGCACAAAACAAAAGGCTAAACCAGCCTAGCGGCTGCCCCTGCTGGTGGCCAGACCTCCCACCTGCTGGCGAGTGGCCAGTAAGTCCACCTGATAAAATTTGGCAAAGGTATGAACAGAAGACCAAGTTGCGGCCTTGCAAACCTGAGAAACAGAGGCACTGTGGCGAAAGGCCCAAGATGCCCCAATTGCCCTAGTAGTGTGGGCTGTAACAGAAAAAGGAGGGTCATACCATTTAATAGCATATGCTTGAATAATCGTGTTATGGATCCATTGAGAGATGGTAGCCAAAGATGCAGCTGGGCCTTCCGAGTAACCTCAACAACCACAAACAAAGAATCTGTCTCCCGGAAGGACGAAGTAGAATCCAAATAAACTCAGAGGGCACAAACCACATCCAACAGTGTAGCGCCCCCTCCTTCCTATGAACAGGTTTCGGACATAGAGAAGGCAAAAAAATGTCCTTGTTCAAATGAAACACCGAAACAACCTTCGGCAGCAAGGACGGCCGAGGACGTAAGACACTTTATCCCTATGAAGGACCAATAACGGCGACTTGCAGGACAAAGTCGCCAACTCTGAAACCCTGTGCACGGAAGTAATCGCACCAAAAAGGCCACCTTCTGGGCCAAGGCCAAAAGTGGGATCTCTCGCAGTGGTTCAAAGGGAGCTCCATGCAGAACCGAAAGCACCAGATTCAGATCCCAAGGCGGCAAGGGAGACCTAACAGGGGGCACAATATGGGTAACCCACTGAATAAACATACAAATCAGAGCACGAGACGCCAGGGGCCACTGAAAAAGGACCATCAAGGCAGACACCTGGCCATTCACACTGCTCAAGGCCAGCCCCTGATCCACCCCACGCTGCAAAAAAGCAAGAAGTCTGCTCACAGAAAATAAACGTGGAGACAGGCCACCAGCCTCACACCAGGCAAAATAAGCCTTACACGTGCAATGGTAAATTTTCCTAGAAACAGCCTTTCGAGCCCTGAGCATCGTGGAGATAACCCTATCTGAAAAACCACGATCTCTCAACACCTGGCTCTCAACAGTCACGCCAACAGAGCCAGCGAAGGGAAAAGAAGGATGAAACACGGGACCCTGCAACAGAAGGTCTGGATGAAGAGGCAGCCGCCAGGGGATGTCCACCACCAGGCGAATCACGTCTGCGTACCACGCTCTCCGCGGCCAATCCATGGCCATGAGAATGACATGGACGCCCTTGGCCACTATTCTGCACACAAGACGCAGCAGGAGATACAGCACAGGGAAGGCATAGATCATGTTGTAATTGTCCCATTGGGCCACCAGGGCATCCGCCTCCACCCAGGGATCCTGAGCCTGGGCTATGAACCGCTCGACCTTTCGTTTGAGACAAGGCGCAAGGAGATCCACATCCGGCGTTCCCCCAGCGAAGACATATCTGATGAAAGATCTCCTCCGTCCAGGAGGGAATCCGGGCTACTTCCTGTGCTGCGGCCATGCTTCTCGTGATGGATGATGTAGGCCACAGCGTTGTCCAACTGAACCCGGACCGACAAGCCCAAAGACGGCCCGTCCAATGATGGAGACAGGCGAATTGCCCGAAGTTCCAGCACATTGATCGGTAGAAGAGACTCCGCCAACGCCCAACGACCCTGCGACCTCAGGACGTCTCCCCAGCCCAGAAGGCTTGCGTCCGTGGTGACCACTGTCCAAAGAGGCAGGAAGGACTTCACCGACACAAGAGTCGGAGATCGAAGCCACCA